ACTTACTGAAAGGGAAGATTCTCGGAAGCAAATTGCTCAACTTGTTGATACTTCCGTTCTTGTGATTCTTGCACCTAAAATTCAATCCCACAAAGGACGTTCATTGGGTTCAAAGGGAAAAAACAACAATAGTTCTACAAGTCGAGATCCTTCTGCATTTGAGATATATCGCTGAAAACTCCCGACAATGTGGTGTATGCAAAAACGTTGGGCATAACAGTCGCACTTGCAAACAGAAAGTTGGAACAATTAGATTGAGCCCTCCACGTGTCTTGCCTAACCAAGAAAAAAATGTATACATTATGGAAACAAGTGATTGGAATGCATCACCTTACTCCAGTAATAGTTTTCCATTGAATTAAAGTGCTTTTGTGAGGTTTTTTTTTTTTTTTTTTTAAATTAATTATTATTTTAGAAGCTTCATGTTACGTCCTTTTTTTATTTTTATTTTGTGCAGGAGTAAAATTAATTTTTGGAAATTAGCTAAGATGTTGATAACGTCATTATGCATGTAAGTTTCTTTTCTAGGTATTGATTTTACATTATATATGCATTGAAGTTACTATCATATGAAAGAATGCTAATGCATTTTTTACTCATTGTGCATGTGATATGTCGTTTCCTTTGAGCTTGGTTAGTTTATAAATGCGGATGGATGGTGAAAATAGCTGGATAAATTATAAATGAAAATTTTAATTGAAGTAGTTTTTGTCATGTTGTTTTCATGTTCACTTTAAAGATGATGTTAAATCTTAGTGATGATTTCAGTGACTTTGAAATTAGATACTAGTTTCGGCTCTTTCAATGGCTTCCCCTTGATATCGACTCTTTTTTATTTTGCCAATAAAATATTATAAATTGTGTTGAATAATTTTTCTCCTGAATGTATTACATTTTGACATATTAAAGTATGTTGCTCGACAACCTTTTCTTCTGTATATGACGTCATCTTTTTTGTTGAAGGATGTCCACCTTTCAAATAGGAAAGAAAATATTATACAATTTCTTCAGTATATCAACTCTTTTTATTTTGCTAATAAAATGTTATAAATTATGTTGAAGAATAATGTTTCTCTTTGCATTTTGACATAGAAAAGTATGTTGCATGACAGCCTTCTCTTTTGTACATAGGCATTGCTTTTCTTTCTTGTACTTGTAGAGGGGTATTTTCATACTCAAAAAGCTTCAAATGGCTATATTCCTCTTCGTGGCTATCGCGATTTCACCAAATGGGTTGAATTAAGCTTCCGTCACAATTTCTTAGATTGACCATGTATGGGAGACAGAAGTGAATCCGAAAGTGCTTGATAATCAGTTTGCCTAGCTACCCGGTAAGAGCTAAATTCTCATGGAACTTTCTATCTTTGGTGGAGAGTTGGTCTTATTGGCAAATCCATCCCCATATTTATATGGTTCTTTAGCTGATGTTTTGTATTATTTTTGCTTTAAAGAACTGGGAAGAAAACCAACCTATATTTGATCTCAATATTTGAACTAACAAGACGTATATTTGGAGCTCAAACTCGAAGGGATCGTAACAGGGGCGCCACTTTCATATAAGTGTACTTACTGCCGGCGTGTTTAGGCATATGAATATCAAAATGGTTTGTCTGATATTCCTACATCCAGGTACAGACCATGAACCCTCTTGCACGAAGCCAAAAGCCAGGTGAAACCCCCTCATAGTCGGAACCTTAGATGCTTTTCAGAAAATGAGCATAGAAATGAGAGACCGTTACCGTGCTGTGCTAAAAGTTTCTTTTAAAAAAGTATCGTCATCTGGAAGTTTCTTCTATGTATCCTGTTCTATTTTCTTTCAGCTTTTGGTTATTGGTTCTCTGTTGTGGGTGAATCGGTCCTGCGTACTAGGCTGTTGATGGAGCTTTGGGGGATCCGTGGTGGTTTTCTTAGTTGGTTGCGTTTGGGTTTGATTTGGGTCAGGATGGGTTTTCTTTTGGTCTTATCTAATGAGTTACTTGGGAGTTTATTGGACTTGTTCGCCTTCTAGGGCCGAAGGGTGGCATCGGAATGTTACCGGATGATCTGGGTTTCACCAGTGATTGTCGGCCGGTTATGGTTTGGGTGTCCTTGGCTGCTGTTGTTATGTTTTGGTTAGGCATATGCGTGGTGGGAGTGGATATCGGTATGCTTGCCGTGGCCGTTGGTGTGCCGGTGTCCTGTGCATGGCCTGTGTTGGGGTTTGCTTTTTGTGTTTTTAAGATCTCGGTTATTTGCTTGTGGATTTGTTAGGTCGAGTCTTGTAGACGATGTCTTGGTGGGTACACCTCGCTTTGGGTTTTGGCTGTTCTGTGTTGGCCAGATTTTGCTGTTCGTGGGGATTTGGCGGGCATGCTCGGCGAGTTTCGGCTGGGTCGGCTGCGGGTACTGGATTCTGTTTGGTTGGGGGCCGACTTACTGACGTCATGGCTAACTTTTTTCCAAATATTTTTAACGCTCTTGGTTGCGTGTGTAGGAGATCTGTTTTTATCTCTGTTCCCTCGTGGTCTGTGTCAAGGATAGATATTGTACTATCCAGTAAGATATGCTTGCATGATGTTATTACTTGAGCTATTTTCCTGCGGTGGGCCAGCTTCTTGACTCTTCTAATGCTTTTTATAAGTCGGTGTTATACTTCCGAGGTTTGAGATGCACTGTGATGCAGCCTTTCCTTTGCCTAAATGTTGTGACGTGTATGGTTATGCTTGATTGGCGTAGTAAGCAACTTGGATCTTATTTATAGTGCTTTTTCTGTTGCTTTTTGTGTTTATCTCTGTATACTCTTTGGCTATCAAATCCCATTTTTGTTAATAGTAGTAATTGTGCTTTTTTTACTTTTGTGTTATGCTTTTGAGTCTTCTACTTTTGAGTCCAGTGTGTTTTTTAGTTGTCTTTTAGTTGGTTGGTTTGCGATGGTGTCTACCATTCTCACTCAGTTTCAAGGGTTGACGTTAACATCGAAGGAAAAGGAGCCCATTCAGTTGACGCTGGATGATATTGTTCAGAGTGACAAACTGTGTCACTCTAGTCTTTTTGGGAAAGTGTGGGTTTCTAAAACGACGACTTTATCTGGGGCTAAGTTTACTTTTGCTAAGCTTTTTAATAAGTTATCGCTAAAGGATAAACAACAAGAGCCTATCGCTAAGCGGTTACAAGTTTTTAAGGTGGCGCGTAATCTCTTTCAACTGTTTATTCCGGATGCTACTATTCGGCAACGTATTTTGGATGGCTGTCCATGGCTTTTTGATGGCCATCTAGTGGTGATTAAGGCATGGGAGGAGAGTTTATTACTGTCTGATACTCCGTTCCAAGTCTCTATTTTTTGGATACAGCTGTTTGATGTGCATGCCAACTTTCTGTCAGAGAAGGTTGGGGAAAAAATTGCCTCTTCTTTCAATCAGTGTTTGAAAATTGAACTGAGGGATAAAGGTTTGGGTAATGGGAAAGAGTTGGAGATGATTGCTAGTCGGGTTCTACGTCTTCAGGTGGAGTTGGATATCACACAGCCTTTTCAACGCCATCTTCTTCTTACTAGTCCGACGGGTGAAGAATCTAGGGCACAGATATGTTATGAGAAGTTGCCCATTTTTTGTTTTACTTATGGTGTTATTGGACATCAGTGGAAGTCTTGCCTAACTGGATCGTCTGTGGGGCCAAGGCATATTAAGGAGTATGGCAATTGGTTGGGTGTTGATGGTTTTTTGGGCAAAGATCTTTAGAATATAGAGCGAGATGGGGTGGATTTGGGTAGTGATATTCATAATAAGAGCTGGTTGTATGTGGAGGATGGCGATGTCGTTAATGTGGCTGGTCTTGTGGGGTCTAAGTCGTCTTCTACTTTCCGCGAGGTTCCTGGGTGGGAGGTTGATCCGTCTATTCCGTTTGCTCTTCATGGTAATAATCAGGGATTTCACTTGGGGGAGCCATTGGGTACTGTCGTGGTTGCTCTTTCCAGTGTAGGTGGACCATCCCGCCAGGTTGAGGGTCTTGGTATGGGGAATGTGTCGGGTGGTGAGGGTTTGGGTCTGCCTGGGGTGCTTTTGGATCAGGTCCCATGTCGGGGAAATGATGTTTCTCCTTCTGGTGTGCCTATTGTACCAATGCTGGGTGGCTTAATTCAAGGTTCTTCATCGCAGAGTCATGTGACGTTGGCCCATAACGAAGAACTTATGATTTCGGACTTGTTACTTCTCCTATTAAGGGTCGGATCCTTCCTTTGCAACGGTGGGATGAAATGTCAAAAGGTTGGAAGAAAGGTAAGGGTTTGGCTAAGCCTGTGTTTGGATCTACATCTGATTCATCTGCTACTTCTCACAGTCAAGGGTCTTCTCCAGTTAAGAAAGGTCGGAAGCGTCGCCAGTCTAGCTCTAATGGGTCTTCACGTGGCCGTGTGAGAGGGGACAAAAAGATTAAGGCTTCGCTTGTTAATGATGTGTCTCCATCTGTGGATATGGATGTTATTGGTGGTGACGTTGGCATGCGGTTGATTCATCTGCAAAGTCTGGGGCTTAGTTAACGGACTCTTTTACTTCCGAATCATCTCAATCTTTTGCGACTCAGTTGGCTTTACTTGTGGGAGCTACTAATCCCATACTTACTGACACCTTTTGAGTTTGTCTGTTGTCAAGACTATGATCTTCACATATGTGTTAGTTTGTTTTGCTAGCTTTTGTTATGGTTGTGGTGGCTCTTGTTTTGTTTTGTTATGATGGATAATCCTTACCTTGTATTTGTCACATGGCGTTGGTGTTTGTTTTTGTCAGGAAAAAAAAATAATAATAATAATAAATAAATAAATAAATAAAATCTGTTTGCCTTTTAAATAGAAAAGGAGAATAATTTTCCTTTTTAATTTTTTTCCTGGATGTATTGGCATACTTTTCGGAAAGTATTTGATTTAGAAAAGGTAATTAGGATATAATAAAATAAGAGATGGCACATTAATTAGTTTAGGGATATTTTTGTCATTCACTTTAAAGAAAAAAAGAAAGGTGCAGTGTAAGTGGAAAGAATTGAAATGTAAATATCGCCTCCCTAAATTTAAAACTAATAATTATAATTTTTAAATTATAAAAATACCCCTATTAAGTGGGTCTTCTTCCTCTCAGACTCTGAGTCAACCCAGTTCGTCCCCGATTTGCTTAAAGAGAGAATGCGATGGCGAGCTTGGAGCAAAGACGGCTGGGTAAATCCACTTTGATTTTTCTCTAAGACAATACCCTAAATCGTAGTGAGAGATGAGTGAAAAAAACAGCGATTAGTGAGAGGCGGCGGTGCTAGCGACAGTTAGAGTCGCGATTCCGGCGGCGGCAGCGGCGGCGGCGGCGGCCAATGAACGGCGGTGATGTGTGGCCGGAAACGGCTCCGTAGAGGAACAGATCTGACTCGAACATGTTTATTGTCACCTACACGGCTGAGCACAACCACCCCATGCCGACTCACCGGAATTCACTCGCCGGGAGCACCCGCCAGAAGCCGGTCACACCCCAAAAGGCCACCGGCGGTGATACTAACAAACCCAGTTGCTCCTCCCCTGTTTCGCCGGCCAGTCTCTCTCCGACGAACGAAAAGGTTGATAGCAGGGAAGACTTGATGCTGGAAGTTGATGAAGATCGCGTGTGTGATCTAAAGCTGTATTTCTTGTATATTTTTTGTCTTTCAATGGCTTCCTCTGTGTCACGCCCACCAACACCATTAACATTCCTTCATAAAAGAACCCATTTCAGAGTCTCACCCAACCAAATTGTCCCTTCCATTCTTCAGAAGAAACAACTACAATTCAAGTCAAAGCCATGTATGACATTTGGAGCTTCTAATGGTAAGTTTCATCTTCTCACCAATCAACCCCTTGTTTCTGCTTTTACAAGAGCTTCCTCAAATGGGTCTCTTCATTTCATTGAAGAAGATGAGATCTTGATGCCACTTGAGGAACGCCTGGTGAAATTTGCTTTCTGAGTTTTGTTTTGGGCGTCTCTATCTCTTGTCTAGTTTGCTGCTTTATGGGGAAGCTAAAGCTGCTCAGGCTACTGCGGATTCCATTAGAGATTTGGTCTCAAGATTGCGTCGTCCTTGCGGAGCCCGGGATGGCCTGATGAGGCTGTTGTGTTTGCCCTAGCTACACTCCCTGTGATTGAGCTTTGTGGTGCTGTTCCTGTGGTTACTGGTTGCAACTCAAGCCCACATTCCCAACTGTCTACTCTGTTCTTGGGTTGGTCTAAATGACTCAACTCTCACTCCTGATCTTGTTCGAGTTTGTTAGAGGCTATTTTAGTCATCGAGATTGTTTTTCAAATTTAATATTAAATTATAAGGTTAATTTTGTCATTTCACAATTTAATAGAGGTTGTTTAATTTTAATAATTTTTTTTTAAAGAAACTAATCGCAGGGGAAGTTATGTGATTTTTTTCTTTATTAATTTTTATTTTTTTAAAAAAATCAATCTCAACATCTCATTTGTGTTCAAATTTGATTTCATATATCAATGTAATTTAGATAAGACATCCAAACCTCGGGAGTTTACCATTCACAAGTTAAATTTAGCAATATTCGGGTGTGATTCATTTTTTTAATCTAGTTGCTTGGGTTTAATTATTTGAAATTTATTCATATCAAATAATTTGAATCTAATATATTTTATTATCATTATTAAATTATTAATAAATATATTGTTTGAATTTTGTAACAAAGTTTTCATATGAGACATTCTAAGTATAAATTTTACAAATTGTTCTTTTAATCCAATTTTGAAAAATGAAGAATGACACTCGTTCTCTGTCAACGAATACTTAGTCTCAGTATGGCAAGTAGCATTTTATAAATTATTGTGATTTTTTTGGTACTTATTTTATTTTTGAAGTGATGGGTTTGTGTGATATGTTTTTCGTGACACCAGCCATGTGATTTAATCAACAAAGTTTGCACGTTTCAAATATTCGTGAAAAGATTTATAATTTTTATGGCCACTTTGGTTGGAAATATTGGAAGAAAAATAATAGAAAAAAAAAATATAGAGAGATTATTTTTGTGTTTGGAACAAAATTTTAAAAGAAAAATAAAGAAAATGGAGGGATTTAGAATACATTAAAGTTTGATGAGTTGGTTTTGTTATCCTTTTAAAGTGGAGGAAATAAAAAAAAAAAAAATTAACATTTTTAATAAAACTTTGTTAATATCAGATTTACATTTATTTCGATAAGATATAAAATTTATGAAAAATGATATGATAATAAAGAAGTTTCCTTTTTATTTATTTCTCCAAATACAATTTAATCAATCAAATACCATACACTACCCACTCCTTTAATTTTATATATTTTCCCTTATAACTAAATCTTTATTTTCTTATTCATTGTACCAAACATAGCCTTAAATTCGGTTTAGATAATACAATATTTTGTTTTTGTATAACTTAATTTTTTCTACAAACAAATAGATAAGATAAAATTTATTTAAGATAAATTAATTTAGACTAGCTATCCTATTTTATATGCATAACTTCAGTTTTTTTTTTTTAACTCACACATTGGTTTTTTTTTTTCTTTCCCCAAAGACAAACTAGAATCAAATTTAGCTTTAATTAGATAAAGTAAATCTTAACACTTTGGCAATGATTTTTTTTCTTTTCTTCCAAACCAAATAATTTCAAAATTTTATTTTGTAAATATTCATTTGACTTTAAATTAGTTTCACTTTTTTTTTCTTAATTGAATCACGAAAAAAGAACAGTTTTGGATCTAAATTAACGGAGGATTGACGTAATCCAAGAACCAGCATTTAAATATTTTTTTGTTGCTAATAAAGGAAGGAAATGTGGGGCTCCAATTAATACCCTTGTATATTTTCACAAATACCAAACCAAACACGTGATAGTAAAACCCTATTTATGTACAGTATAACACACCTTCATAACTGTTCTTTGACTGAGAAGGTGAAGAAGTACTTTGTTGTCTGTGTTCGGGGACAATAATGGCTTTGTTTCAGTGCTATTCTACAATTCCATCTTCTTCTTCTTCTGCATATATTCATCGATCTTCTCCGAGCCCTGTGTCCCGGAATTGTTTCTTCAATGCACCAATTTCTCGGGAAAATGATAGAAAATATACAACTTTAGTGTGCTGTTTGTCCAGTGCTCATAACAATTCAAGTTCGACCATAACATCTGTCAATCAGGTCAGGACCGGATTACAATTCTTTTATCAATTTTGATTTTGGAGATCATCGCATGATTTGACCCTTTTTTTTTTTTTTTTTTTTTTTTTTTTGTAGTTGATTGAATCTCTGATCAATCGTGTCGATTTGTCTGAGCTTGAGGCCGAACAGTCTCTCGATTTCTTACTGAATGAAGCTAATGAGACATTGATAAGTGCGTTTCTTGTGCTGTTGAGAGCAAAAGGAGAGACTTATGAAGAAGTAAGTCAAGTCTATATGTATGTATGTAAGTATGTATGTGCGCGCGCGTGGTATATTGTTGGCATAGTTTTGTGGGGAGTAAATATCTTATAGGGTTTCAATGTATCAGGTGGTAGGATTGGCGAGGGCGATGATGAAGCACGCTAAGAAGGTTGAAGGACTGGATAATGCGGTCGACATTGTCGGAACCGGCGGTGATGGCGCGAACACGGTGAACATTTCCACCGGTGCTTCAATACTTGCCGCCGCTTGTGGTGCAAAAGTTGCAAAGGTGACTTTTTTTACATCAATGGATATGACCTTTTTAATCTATCTGTGGTGGTGTGATTTCTAGTTGTTTTTTTTATAAAATGCCAAAATTTTATTGTTCAATCTGTAGCAAGGGAATCGTTCGAGTTCTTCTGCGTGTGGAAGTGCCGATGTGTTGGAGGCTCTAGGGGTGGCAATCGACTTAGATCCTGAGGTATGTGCACTTTATATATTATGGATGGATGAGAAACTGAATTAATTGCACTGTACTATGATCAATTTTGGGGGTTGGTGAATCACATTTATTATATCACAGAAAGCATAACTAATTTATTGACTGCAGCAGAACTTGAATGATATATACTATCAACTTCATCTGTTCCTGTCTAGTTCTTATCTTTTTCTGCTTTCTCCTCACTCTCACTCTTGCTTTGAATAATAACTATCTTTCTTCACTCTCTCTTTCTCTCTTATATGCTTCCTGCTTTCTATCTTTCTCTCTCTATATAGAGTAGAATGACAAATAGGACTCGTGTATTTAATGCCAAATAATTGGGAGAAACATCTGTTGAATTGAGTTGAGGCTGTACCTCTCATTGTTCTGCAGTTCATAAATGCTTTCACTATTTTATACTTGCTTGTGGATAATTTTTGGTCCATTATCTTAAAAAAGAACAATTGCCAACACTAACCACTAAACTTAACAAAGAACAATTACCTAACACTAACCACTAAACTAAACAGAGATCAGTTACCTCTATTATTCTTTAATAAAAAGTACGTGTACCCGAATCTGAGATCTTAATTTTTACTTTTTTCCCCCACTCCCCGATTTGCCTTCATGAGCAGGAAACTGGTTTCTATCTCTTTAATCTTCTTCTTCTTCTTTTTCTGGCTGTTCACTTGGCCTGGTTGTTAAACAGATAATTTCTCAGACATTGACTTCCTTTTTGTATTTCTTTTCTTGAATGGATAAAACTACACTACTTATAAAAATAAAAAGAAAAGGAAAAAAGGATAAATTTTCACTAATTTGATAAAATTTCAAATACAACAGAACACATTTCTCTAGAGAAGCAGTCACCTTTCAGAATCCCATGGGCATCGCATTCTATTAGCATGACTTGCTTTTGGGTTATAGTAGTGAAGCATAATTCTTCGTATGAATTGCATGTGATCAGCATATCTTGACCTTTTGAAAGGGACTCCCCCTCAGAAATGTTAATTAAAGTATTGAATTCCATAGCGATAACAACTGACAAACATTTTTTGATGTGCTTGTGATGCAAGTTCTTTGAAGATGTGAAAAGAATACAAATCCTTGCCTCCATTGTTCTCTATGCATATATTGGTTCACTTGTTTTTTATTTTCTTGGAATCAGGGGATAACAAGGTGCGTAAAAGAAGCAGGAATTGGTTTTATGATGGCTCCGATCTACCATCCAGCAATGAAAATTGTCAGTCCTGTGAGGAAAAAGCTAAAAGTGAAGACTGTATTCAATATCTTGGGCCCTATGTTGAATCCAGCACGAGTACCTTATGCTGTTGTTGGCGTATACAAAGAGGACATGGTCAGTTACTCTGCTGCGCGTTGCAACTCTAGTAAAATATCGTAATTACCTGCGTACATAGATTGATTCTGCTCAATTTATGCTTTCTGAAGATGCTTTACTTTTTAGTACTTCATCAGGATGTCAGATTTGGTCTTGTTAATATATGTAGATATATGGGCCTTGGGGAGCTGTACTCTGTTGATTTTTTTGGCTATGCAATTTCTGATTTGATGCATCTCTCCCATGACCTTTGACAGCATCCCAGAGATGGTCTGTTTCCTTACTCTGAATGGTCAATCCTTGCTGGTTTTAGAAGTCAATACATTGAAAATTTTCTGGTCACACGTATATACGATTAATAATTGTAGCTTGTTTCTGGTTAATGTTGTCCAATCTCACATTTCCCTAACCTTGTTGCCTGTTAATGTTGTCCAATCTCACATTTCCCTGGGTGTACATGACAAAGCACTGTTATAATTTAGATGAATCAAAAGGTGAAGTTTATGAATGCTTTCCAGCTTGCTGAAATTAGGTGACAATGATGTGATTGTACAACCTTGGGGAATCCTTCTTGATTATTTACTCAGGAGTTTTATTAAATCTATGAAATTTGCTATTTATGTTATCGGAAGGTTTTCTCTAACTGGTCTTCAAAGATTCTATATAAATGATTGATATCTGTATCTTTGATCAAGTCAAGATCAGCACTCTTGCTGCAGGCTAAATGTAGAATGGCAGACTTGTTATCTTACTCTGATCGAGATGCTCTTGTTTCTCTCCTGGAGAGAGAAGATGATTTGCATTATGAGAAATAAGATAACTGTCCTGTCTTACAGCTAAAGAGTGTGTGGAACTGACCCATTATGTTTCATTCAGTTCAGTAATTGCAGATGGCAATAATTCCTTATCAATAAGTTATATATAAATGATATTATGGTTGTATGCATAAATATGTGTTGTTTTATTTGATGTTTAGGCTATAAATTTTTGGAACTTGTTGCATGTGGTTCTTGAAATTCTTCCCTACATATATATATAATTCTGACAGTAGAATAATTTGCTCTTTGGATAGGTCTATAAAATGGCAAAAGCACTCCAAAGATTTGGCATGAAAAGAGCATTAGTTGTGCACTCAGAGGGCCTGGACGAAATGAGTCCTCTTGGTAAGTACAGTTCCTTCTTGATATTACAGGAAATGTTTGCTTGCAGGTGTCATTGAACTTTAGTTTCTTGTTTCCAATAAGCTCCTGTCTTCACATTTCTACATTTTTAATTTTATGCGTAAAGTTTACTATCTAATGTATTCACACAAAATATCTGAACTGGCGTGGACAGGTCCCGGGATAGTTCTTGACGTTACTTCAGACAACATTGAGAAGTTCTCGTTTGATCCATGTAACAATCTCATCACTATCTTGAAATAAGTTCATAAATTTTCATTTATTCGGACAATCGATTTGCTAATGCTTACCCGCGACTGAGTGCAAGTTGTTAAGTCATATGGTGCAGGGATGAAGCTTGCTGGCAAGTAGTGATGAATCACTTTTTCATGTTTGTCTCTTAAATAATAATAACAATTTTAGAGATTGTATTATGTGATCAAATATTTTTTTTAATCGGCTTGTTTATTGGATAGTGGAGTTGGGAATTTCTCGCTGTACACTGGATAGCTTACGAGGTGGAGGCCCAGAGTATAATGCAGAGATACTAAAGAGTGTGCTATCAGGAATGAGAGGGCCCGTGGCTGATGCATTTGTAAGTTTCCTCATTGTCTTAGTCCTGTTCTCAATTTAATTTACTCTCTCTACACCACCCCCCTCTACAATTGTCATCAAATTAACCAAACATTTTTTACTTTGATTCAGCTCAGCTAATGTGTAAATATTTACTAAATTGTTTTTCGAATATGACAAATTAAACCAGTCCATTGTGCTTTTTATCTGACATTTTGAATTAGTTTTATTATTCTTGTGGAACAGTTCCTTTTCGTTGCCTTGCCACCATTTTTAGTCAGGAATGGATTCAAGGTCATTGGTGATTATTCACTATTCCCAAGTTTAACAATTGTTTTGGAGAAGTGATAATCGAAAATTTTGTAGTAGCACACGATTATTAATTGGTCATTAAAAGTTAAAATAAACTTAGGTACAACTATAACTTAGGTTAACTGTACCCTGAAGATCTCCGTAATCCTTCTTCTCTTGGAATGAATAAACCACTTTATCTTGATTTAAATTTAGCAATTCAAGATTAGATGCTATTTCTTTCCATGCTTTGATGTGATCCTACCTTGTTTGCAAATTTGATTGGTGTTGCTGAATATTGTCTGAATAATCAAGCCCATCAACATGTTAAAGGATAGTTAAATAGACACTAATTTAAATTAGGGTAAAAAAAATAGACACAATACAAGATACCAATGTAAAATTTCATATCTTTCAAATATTTATTAATTTTTCAAAAAAAATCATTCAGGTGTTAAATGCAGCAGCAGCTCTCTTAGTCAGTGGACGTGTAAACACACTCGCAGAAGGAGTAGACTTGGCTCGTGAGACACTGTTATCTGGTGAAGCTCTCAAGACCCTTGATTTGTGGATAGATATCTCCAATGTAAGTGCTATCAGGTTGCATATTTATCACACACTATTTAGCGATCAAACATCAACATTACCTTCAATTTCTAAGTATTGTTTTTCATTAAAGAAGGTGAATGAAGAACTGACCGTCACAGGTAATTAATGTCGACTTGAACAATGATAGCAGAGCTTTGAGGCTAGAATAATAAATTTTCAGAAATGTCCATTTTTGCGGATGAGACAACACAAATGTTTCAAGGTTCAAGGTGAGCGGGGTTAGAAATTCTCAAGTCAGTCAGCTAATGTTTCTGTACTCTCTTCGTGTTGTAGTTTCAGTGTGCTCGGAGACGTAGATTCAGTGAAAGAAATGAAATTTGTAACTTATGTAGCCGTAATTTGAAATAATTAGCTATGTGAGCAATTTTATTTTGGTATTTACAAATTTTAAACATCGGATTTAATGCTATGCATCATATTTATACAAACAAAAAGCAATAAAGCAGAATCGCTTTGGAGGACAATGTTTCAAAAATGAACTTGTGTTTGTTTGAATTCTTTATTGTGTTTCAACTTGTCTACATTAGCTTGCACTATGCTAAACATGGATACAAGCTCTAAGACTCCCTTTTCTCAAAATCCAACTTCTCACTATGCTCTTTTTTAAATCCTTTCCATATATAATTTTCATTTGCTGAAAAAAAGAAAAAAGAGAAATACAACAGCTCACTGGTATGGTCCATCTTTAACAAAAACTAGTGACAGCTTTTTGTCATTACTGGTTTCATAAAGCTTTGATTTTCCTATATTCCCTAGGATCAATGTTTCAAACCATTTTAGCTAAATATGTATTAAAGTTGTCAATGTAAGGAAAATCTCAAAGGAGTAATGTACTAATGATTGGTTGATCTCATTTCTATTAGCGTTCTTAGTTATTATAATCTAAATCATACAATTCTTCTAAATGAGTATTGCCTTCATGTTCTGTGCCTTCTCTCTCGTTTCCACTCTCTGTGATTTTGATTTTGTTACTTTCGGTCCACTCTATAGTGCTCTTTGTGACTTGCATTATATTTGTTATTATGCAGCTCAATTATCTGTTTGTTTAGGACGTTATTACTGTAAATTTCAGAAAACAAAAACTAGATGGAGTTTGCGCTCGTGTGAAGTGACTATTTCATGATCTCTTTTAGTCTTTTTGAACTTATCTCAAGAGGTTATGTCATTGTTTTAAGAATAGTGTTTAAGTAGCCAATTCAGTTGTGTTAATGTTTTTTCCATGGCAAAAGAGGACTATTAAAGGCACGATCTTGAAGCAACGAGCACATATAAATTCACGAGAGTACATGGATTTAACATGGGACATTAACATGAGACAGCACTAGCCTACGGAAAATTTAAGTGACAAGAATTCCTAAAATATAAAATAATAACAATAAAAAGATTTGAGAGACTATTCGTATAAAGAATACTTCCAAATTGTTAAGGACTTGAAGCGATATGTTTATCAGCATTTTCCTTTTCTTTTTGATCATCTGTGTGACCCATGTATTTTTTTTTTTTTTTTTCCTTTTTCAATAAACTCCTCCTTTGTACCCAAAATTGCAATTTAAAATAGCTTGAATGCATGCCTTTGTATAACCAATTGAAACCACTTAAGAAAAGTGTTTTGGAAGCAACAAAAAGAGCTATTACAACAGCCCTATTGAATTGGAACAGTCGTTTGGTGGAATCTAAGGGCATGTGAAAAGAAATTATGTGAATCAATAACAACCTAATTTTCAAAAGGCAATGCTACACCTAAAGATTATAAGAGTGGGTAAGCAGCACCATCAATAATTTAACTTGGTTTGTACCAACCGTTGAAGTTTTCGGATTAAATGACTGGAGTTTACACTTACCATTAAGTGAATCTGTCTGTAAAACGGGTGGGCTATAGATTGTGGTCAAATCTGTATATCAGCTAAATTTTGGACTGTGTGGCCAACCAAAGCTGGGTGGGCTATGGATGAAATGGTCCAAGTAAATAATAGTCGGATTGCTAAGTGTCACTTCTGATACCAACAATTTAGGGCTCATGGGGTTAAAAATAAAAGATAAAGGTGCTCCTGAGTCCTGAATAAGTTCAACCACACATGCTCAGACACACAGAGGCTGCTGGTATGGATAGCTATGGAGGAAAGTTAAAGTTGTTTGAAGACCACCTTCTTCAACGGCAACTCCTCCCTTCTGCCCAAACCCACTCCATTGCAGCACTGTCGAAGTTTCCGAGTTACCGGGATGAACCCTTGGGGGCCGCAAATGGAAGCAATGTTTCCATTCTTGATGTAATGATTTTAGAGTACTATTGAGCTATCAAAGCCAACTTCATTTTGTATGTGTTCGTTGTTAGATATTATTTTTGTCAATGTAACAGTGACATTCTAGGTTTTTCGTGTTTCAGTTGACGTTACTCAACTTCAGGAAGGAGATACTCCCATTTATTCACAAGACAACGATAAACTCTAATGGTGATTCTTCAAATGACATACATTCGATGGCTGACTGATCATACATTCGATGGTTGACTGATCATACATTCATAAGTAAGCTCTAAGTTAATCTATTTTGTCCAAGTTCGAAAAAAAAATCACTTCATAGTTGATATGGTCCTTTCAACCACAAAATATGTCAAGGCTCATACCAGCTCAATGGCAGGATAACCCAAATGAGTGTTTGGCATTAAAAACAAATAATAATAATAATAATAATAAATTAATAACTAATAAAATACTGCGTAACATCTTTTTAAGTCCAACAAAAAAGGTAAAATCTTTATTTCACATTTCAATTATTTGATCACAGAACTCTCTGTGCATTTGAGTTTAACAGTAAATTGCGTTATCGACTATAAATCAATAATTAACCTAATTAATGTTATTGGCAGCTTTTTTCTATAATTCATTACATGTTTGGTCTTACCTAATAGGATTTTAATTAAATAAATTGGATAGTTTAACTCATAAATTCAACTTATGAAACATAACTTTTAAACTTTTAAATTGTGAGGGCATTAATGTGTGGCTTGTGTTTGGACATGGATATCCAAAAGTAAGAAAGTAGCATTTCAAGATCAACCAACACGTTTAAAATAACAAAATCAACCGGATTAATATATTGGGATCACTCTCATCCTATCCTATGTAGCCTATCATCTCTAGTGGACCACTAAGATGCACTACCAACAACAACCCCACCGTTTCTAGAGTATCCTCTCTAGTGGACCACTAAGATGCACCACCGTAAATGGCTATGACTTACTCTCTATCTCTCCACCCAAATATCCTACATATTTAATCCTAATCTTCTACAAATCCCTAAACTCAAAAATCTGTATAAAGACTCCAATACACCAAAATTCTGATAACTCTCTCAGCACTCCACAATTCTCTCCACAAGTGTGGAAGATTCCAGAATCCATCCCTACACGTCATGCGACAACATAGAGAGTCCTCCTTAGGGCTCGCATGTCACTTGTGTAGCACAACCTCCCTTCAAATCGGTGGGGCACGGCATTCAGCTCCCTTCTCGTTCTTCTCGTTTATATAAAAGAATTAACTCCAATTTTGAATTCAAATTTCTAATCATCCTCCAATATAGGTTAGATTTAAACATAATAAAGCATGTCTATACTCCATAGTAGTGCTAACTGCACAAAAATCTTATAAATAATTCATGCCCCAAAGCACATTCAGACCAATAAATTCTTGCCATAACCTTAAAACTCACTAAGATTTGTGCTGAGTGCTCACACTAAGATCTGGATACAAGAAATATGAGCAGATGTGCTTTGCTGTCTCTTTATGACCCAAAGAAGAAAAAGATAATGTTCCGATCATTAATTCTTTGTCCTTTCTTTTTAAAGCTCTTTCAGTTCATAAAGTGACCCCTCTAAGATTCTAACTCACACTTGACAATCCCAGTGCACCAAGCAATTGTCCTTTAAGCTCTTCCATAAAGCTCAAGAGAAAAAGACATAAATAAACAACATGTACAATAAGGCATTTACTCTTTAGAAGGAGAGAGATTTTTTTTTTTTTTTTTTGGGGGGTGTGGGGGTGGGGGGGAATTAGAAGGAGAATGTGATTGTGAGAATATAGGGTTCCAATACATTGAGTGAGGTGACCATTATGTATGTGACATTGGCATGTTATCACTCATTTATATGCATGAATATAAGATGAAAGACATGCGTAGCATAACCACTTCCACATCAAGTTACAGAAAGAAATGAAGTGGATTTCAACCTAAAGCAAATACCAGAAAGCTAAAGAACTCAAAACTATCGAAATTCTCAGACTCCCATCTGATCTTTTAGCTATTATACCGACACTGGGTGTACAGAATTCAATTCCAAAAATTACAGTAAAAGGAAGACGGCTATAATTTTAATACAACGAGTTGAATTCAAAATGTACCTTGGCCAATATTCACAAAACGCAAATTCTCAGTGGGGAAGTCAAGCCCGAATATATCCCATGAGAGCCTAATAATAGAAACTTACTCTCAAGCTAACTGAATCACATAATCTAGGAGGAAACTCTTGAAGCTTTTAAACGAGAGCGCGAGCGCTGACCCCTTGTCCTCGCTTCAAGTAGCTTTGCCTTCAAAGTATTCTCTTTTAAGTCCACGGGCAATTTTGAAGATGACTCAGATATGTCAAGATCCTGGGATGGGAGTCTAGCTGTCCATTGTCTTACTGGGCTGGCAGTTCTCCTCCACTCAGGGTTGCCACAAGAAGCTACTCTGTATTCATTTTCATGATGCACATTCGCAGACTCCGATAACAATAGCTGACTTCTTATTAAGTTGTCGATAACATTCTGTGAGTCCAATCTGTGGGTTCCCTCAGATTTATTCTTTCTTTCATAATCGCCCTCTTCTGTAGCTTCACAAATTTCAGACTTCCTAGAAATGCTTGTTTCAGCAGGGTTCCGTTCTCCAGTTCTCCTCTGTTCTTTATCCACAACCTGAGATACATTCTCGTTACGTGATGTGGCCCTAGCCATCTGTTCTTCAAACTTCACCTGCAAGTTGGTAATGTTACGACCTTTTATTGTTTCACGAGATGCAAGCTTTTTCTTTGTTTGATTTGGTTTCACCATTTCATCTATATGACTTTCCTCAGCTTCATCTCCATGTGATTTGATGTCACCAGAACTTGGTTTGTTTAGCTCAAAACAATGTGAATCACTGTCTGCAGAATCTTCTTCGTCATCCACATCTTGAGGAGCACTAACAGCCACATTTAGAGGAATGGATTCCATAGAATTTCGGCGAAGGTTGGGACCCCTTGTCACCAAATTATCATTAATCGTTGGATTACTAGTTCGTTTAGCTTTTAGAAAGGTCTCTATTTCAGAGCTCAATTTGTCTATTATTGAATTTTTTTCACCTAAACCATTTTGTTTCATCTGCATTCTTTCATCAAGCCATGATTCAGATATATGGAGAATCAACCGATCACGATCAGCCCTGTCTGCCCAATCTTTGTCAGATTTCTGTTTCAAAGCATGCACCTCTTGTTCATAATCTTTTATTTCCCAAGCAAACTCATCACAAAGGTCTTCCAATAGCTTCCGTGATTTTCTCTCCCTTTCCAGCTCTTTCAAAGCATTAGCAAGAGAAGTCTTAACATCATAAAGCTCCCGAGCTAACTTCCTGTGCAGACCCTCAGAGCGTTTCCTCAACTTCCTCTCGTCTTCCAGTTCATCCCTCACAGACTGAATGGCAGCACTGATCCGATCATGCTCCTTGCTCTTCCTAGCTACTTTATCTTCTGCAATTTGCTTCATTAATTCATCTCTCTCATGCCTATCAGCTTGCTGATCTCGAACCAACTCTTTGATCCGTGCACGGGCATGATCTAGCTCCCTTTTCAATGCTTTCACCAGTGACATATTCGATGTATGCTGTTCCTCCAGGCTCCATATTCGATTTAATACTTTTAGCAGTTCCGTAGATGTTTTGAGGCTATAACCCGTCTCACCAATCCTTCCCTTAAAGTCTAAAGAACTGGTAGGAGTGACAGCAGGGTTGTAGGGTGCCAGCTGAAACCCATGTAACAGGAACAAGAGTACATAAGTTTTAGCAAACGATGGACGTTTAAAAGGTAAACTAGAACTGCTTGTAAATGAGTAAAAGCATGTCAGGTAACATGATTTGTGTGGCTTATTACAAATTAATAGATAAATTTAATTTAGAGAAGGATTATTACAATAAGTGATGTCTTTTACGTAGCATTTAAAAGTACTACATCCTTGCAAAAATATGAGCATCAGAAAACATGAGATCATCCTTAGTTAACACTGTTGCCTATTCCATATGGATGGTTACCTAGGATAAGATACATTGAGCCGGTGACCTATTAATCTCAGCCAATTCAATCCCATGCATTCTCATTGCATGCAGGAATCATCTCTCAGTCACTCTGCCTAATTCTACTTAAATTAGATTCAGTGTAGAATCGGATCAAAAAATGCTAGGACAAGACCAATTGTAATTTAATTGGAAATGACTATTGCTCTTGTATTCTCCCTGAATTGATTTATTAAAAAATAAATAAATAATGGCCAGTTTATCGTGAAAGAAATACAATGCTATTACCTCCATAGAACTGCCATAACTTGCAGGAGATACAGGTTGTCTAGCATGATTGCTCCTTTCAATTGATCGATGATGTTGCATTAGTGAAGCGGCAACATGCCTCCTCAAACTGCTTGCACTCCCCGGCTGCTAGGAGAAATCAACAAAAAATTTAGTAGAGAGATGAGAGGAAGCACCAAAGCAGAATATCTTAGAAGTTCCAACTTTCATGGATGATACAAAACATTAGTGAATTTCCAAAGCACGGAGTTAATTCCGATAAACAAACCAACTAAACAATCCTCATCACTCACCCCATGTAACTTCTATATAATTCATACCTAATATAATCATTCAAGGATGTATAAGTAACAGAATGTGAATTTATAGTGAAAGCATAATAGCAAAAGGCGATTCAAGAGTTATATGTCACCTCAAATCAAAATTTGAAAGTTACAAAAATATCTGAAGAATGTATAAACTGTAACAAACCTGGGAACAAAATCAATTAGTGCCAAAAGAGAACAGACAAGAATAAACTCAATTAACAACAAACAAATGGGATGGTCAAACACAATAATATCCAAAAACAAAACAAAAAGTAGCAACTAAAATAAAAAGTAAATAGGTAACAACAAACACATATGAACAAGAAAACATGTGTGTGATGTGTATAATGGCAAATGAAACAAAATCACCACGAAAACATTGCAATTATTAATTATAGCAACAACCCTATAAACACAATAATTTTACAAATTAAAAGATATAATCAACAATTGATTGAACTCAACAACAAAAGCAACCCAAAACAGAATAATCAAAACAAATAATCATTTACAAAATTTAATACAAATTAATTGCAAGAAAATCACCAAACCCCCAATTGGACAAACCCAAAATTACAAAGAACCCAATCGATCAATACCCACACAAATATATGTATAATCACATATACATATATGTATGTAAATGTAAGAAAGAAGAATTGTACCACGTCAGGGGAGCTAGGTGGAGGATCGGGTAAAATGGTGGCGGTGGAGGGGAGGTCGAGGCCCTGGTCCTTGTAAAGGTGGTGGTGGTGGTGGTGGTGGTGGAGGCGGCGCAGCCTAGGAGGGGGACCATTAACACCGTGGTGCATTTTAGAGAGGGGAAGGTGGTAATGATCGAGCTCCCAAAGAGTGGCAGCGAGTTTTCTAGCAGAGACTGTGTGAGGAGGCTGAAGCTGAGGCAGAGGCTGAGGATGTGCTTTATTAGTATTAATGATGATGCTATCCTGCGCACCACCAGCCGCTACTGGAGTGGTTTGTCCCCCTCTTTTCCCCACCAACACTCCAAGCTTCAACTTTTCCCCCAAATTTTCTTGCTTTTCTGCTGGCCCTCCCCCACTTTTTTCTGAGCTTTTCATATCTCTACACTTTCTCTCTCTAGTCTCTCTTTTTGAACTGGGTATGGTAAGTGTTGTTGTTCTCTCTCTCATCGCGTCTCATCTCACCCACTTAGTGACTTTAATTTCTTTCTTCTTGTAATGTACAGTTGTTCTATTCTTCTTGTCTACTTGGCTTTCATGGATTAATGTTGAACCACACGTGGGGGGCCTAGTGAAGTGCGAGTGTATTGAGTAGTCTGAGACCGTACTATTGCAGTTGTAGTTATCTACTGTATTACTTAAGAATGCGAATGTAGGTCTGTCGGCCAATTTTTTGGTACACATGTACTTCACTTTAATAGAGAGATTTGGAGTCAGATGTGATACAATTAAGTTGATTTTTTATTTTTCTTTTCCTTTTCCTTTTTCATTTTAGAAAAACTTTGTCGGAGTAAACTCTAAGATGATTTATAAATTTTGAATACACGCAACTGTTTATAAATTACATCAGTAATTACAAATTTAAGTTTTACTTTCTGAGACTTGGATTAGACTGATTCTCAAAAACTTATTAGTTGTCCGTGCAAGTTTTAATTTGAAGTTTTGATATATGAAATAATGTGATTAGTAGATGATTAAATTATATTTTCTTTATATGAAATGGACATAATGTCACCCCTCTTAGTGTTTTAGTTTTTTAATTTACATTTTTTTTTTTTGCCCTTTTTGGTTCCCTTTGTGCACCCTCCCCTTCCCCTCTAACAATGAAACACTAATCCCCAACATTCTTGCTAAAAAAAAAAAAAAATTAAATTGTTTCCCTTTTTCAATTTTTTTTTTTTTTTTAACTCATTTTAATTTCCTTTCCTTTTCATCTTGGATATCCAAAAACAAGTTACAATATATAAAAGTGATTAAGACTTTCATTATCTTTTATCTACTTCATATACATGTTTGTAATGTTATTATTAGGCAAAAGTGCAAACAACCCCTTTGAACTATCACAAATTGACATTTTACCTTCCTGTACTACAAAAATGAACAAGTCAGTACCATAACTATCCAAATCGTGCAAATTAACCCTTGAGACGCAATTCCGGCCACTTTTCAGTCGACCTCATTGTAGATTTACAAAACTACCCATTGTAATTAAGAAAAAAAAAATACGAAAATAAATAATAAACATGAAATACCCTCAATGCCGCTCATGTGATACACACTCAGTTTTCAAGTAACCGTGGCAGACTCTCATACGCTGACACAGTAATCCAATCACTGTCGCCATCGATGACTCATTTGCCGATAACAGTGGTCACCACGGAAGTCCTAAATCACCTCATGGCGCTTTAGATCGTCATCACTACCAGCGTAGGGGCAACCTCTGCCACACTAATTTGCTTCTTCCCTCATCAATCACCGTCGCCACTAACTTCACCGGTATCAAGGCAACTTTCCGACATGGCCTTCAACTGTGGCCACCTGTTCTGCCACGTGCCTCCAACGTCTACTTCCACATAGTTGCTGTAGGCGATGCTTTTCACACACGCACAACCTCACCAACGAGATGGCAGATCTGCAACCATACCTAACTAAATTATGCAGAGCACCAACGAAAAGAGCAGCCCATAGAGGCAAAGACTTAACACAAACTACCAGCCCAACATGTCTCCAAGGTCTTTAGCCATACCCAACCTCGCAATCTACCTCTGATTGTAGCTGAGAGAGCTTTTTATCGCCGACGATATACTCCTAAAGAGATACCAATCCCTGCACACAATTATATTCACATTGCGGCCACGATTTTTATCAACTATGCTCCAGTACTGATAGTTTTGGAGTATTATCCATAATTGCCGCTGTCTCTCTCTTTCTCTACAAGCTTAAATGGATCTTCATCTCTCCTTCTTTAATACACACGTATATATATATGATAATATATATATATATATATATATATATATATATATATATATATATATAAAATACAGAAAAACACACACACACACACATATATATATGTATGTCTTACCTTATACTTTGTTCTTCAAATTTGTTTTAGTGTTTGGTGCAAAGGTGGAGCAGATTAGAGGCTAGATGGAAGAAGAAAAATGAACAGATGGGTTCATTTACAGGCAAAGGGTTACAACGGTAATTTTTCAGGGTAATTTCGGAATTAAAAGAAAATGACAGTCACGTGCTGACATTGTGGGTTGGAAAGTAGCCAGAATTGAGTTTCAGGGGTTAATTTGCACGATTTGTGATAGTTTTTCTTTTTTTTAGTTAAAGAACGATTTGTGATAGTTGTGGTACTAACTTGTTCATTTTTGTAGTATAGGGGGTAAAATGCCGATTTGTAATAGTTCGGGGGGTTGTTTACACTTTTGCCTTATTATTATTTTATTTAAAGATAGTTGGATTGAAGGCTTCTTAAATAAACTTTATCTCAACGTGACATTTAACTCAACTTCAATCTGTACTCAAATCTTGGAAATCCGGTTAGAAAAGGGTTTGAAAAGTTTTGGATTAATTACTTTGCGTTGTAAATAACAAAACAATTATTCAGTCTCAAAAGTAGAAAAGTAGTCAAAAACTTTCAAAAAAATATCCAAATCTATAGGAAAAAGAAAACTAAGAGAATATCAAATTTTAACTCTCTTTGCATTAAAAGTTGGGTTCTTACATTAATCATTGTTCACTTGGTATTGAAAATTGATCGTTCATGAGAAACAGTTGATTAAAGATATTCAATTCTTGTTATCTCATAGGGATAAATTTTCACTCAAAATCATTCACAAAGAAGGGAATTAAAGTTCCTATGTATTTCTCTTATTTTCCTCCCTTCTTATTATAGAGCTTGAATGTAACTGATTTCATGTTTATGTTAGGGGTGGCAATTTAAGTCAAAATCCATTAAACCGTTAAAATCCGCTCACTAAAATTAAATTATTTGGGCACTCAAATTTAAGTGAGTGGATAACAATGGATAAAAAATAGGTACTTATACAATTTCATGGTCAATGATGGGTTAAAAGTAAGTAATCTTAACCCATTAATCCACTCAAACAAAACCCTCATTTCTTTCTCCTCCATTTCTCTCTTCTCTGTTTCTCTCATTCTCTTTCATCTTTTTCATTTCTTTTCACATTTTTTTCTCCCTCCTCTGATTCTCTCTCTTCCCTATCCTTCCCTTCTTTTTTTTTTTTTTTTTTTTTTCTCTAACCTGGCTTCTTTTATTTTCTTTTCTTTTTGGGTAAAGTACAACACCACCCTTTTAGGTTTGCCAAAAAGACACACAGATATAACTTACCTCTTTTTTGGACAATGACACCCCTTGAAGATTGAAAAGTGAACAAAGGCACCCCATGTAGCCAACTGGCATGAAAAATTGACCAAATTGCCCTTTGAACATTTAGTGGACCTTTTTAATTTTACAAGTTAAAAAATTGGATGAAACTACCCCTTATGAACAATTTATGCGTACAGCCACAATGCTAGGAATATAGACTACACATATATATACATCCCTGAAACAGATGAAAAATTGTACATCTCTGTAATCATCTCCTACTTTACAAGTTAATAAATTTATTGAATCTATCCCTGGTGAACAATTTATGTATCCCTGTAATATGGTAGGAGATGACTACATATATATATATATATATACCTGTACAACCTCTAAAACAGTTGAAGAATAATACATGGCCAACATTTGACACTAATAATTACATAACCTATCATTACACAACCAACATTTAACTTCATAATTTGTAAATTAATAGATAAAATAGTAAAGAAAATATGAACAAAATTTTGGTTAAAAAAAAGCCCCATATTTTTTGTAAATTAATATATAAAATAGTAAATAAAATAGGAAAAAAATTTTGGTTAAAAAATAAACCTAATTACAAATTCTATATCCAACAAATTTCACGTCACATAAAATTGATTAAAAAAAAATCCTAAATCAAAAACCCTATATACAACATATTTCACAAAATAACAACAAATTGGTAATAAAATCCTCAATCAAAAACCTTAAGAAACGTCTCAATCACTAAGGTTACAGAACGAAACACCAAGTCAGAGAGAAAAAATGAGGAGATCAGGCTTACGGGAAAGGTCCTCTTGAACAAAAGTAAGCACATGTGGTGATTGTATTGACGAGATCGTGAACAGCCAAACACCAAACATTGAGTAGAACAACTAAATCAACCGAACACTGGTTGGTCTTGACGAGATCGCGAACTACCAAACAAGCAGAAACCACCAAAACATCAAACGATTGAGAGTTCCAGAACTAGGGTTTCAAAATTATCATGGTGACAAACTTAAGGTTTCAAAGAGGCATAAATGGTGATACGAAGAAAAGAAATGAAAGGTTAGAAGAGAGAGAAAGAGACGATATGTGGTTGCTGGTTAGAAGATTAAGGCATTCAACGAGTTAGGGTTAGGTAGGATAATCGTTTAATTTGGCGCCAAGTGACGCTCAACTTTCAGGGGCAATTGCATCATTTTGACAAGTATGATATTTTGCAATAAATCTGTATTTAATATTAAGGGGTAATTTTATCTTTTCATATGATTTAAGGTCTTATTTGGATGGAATTTCATAAAGGAGGGTGTCATTGTTCCAAAAATAGGTAAGTTGTATCTTTGTGTCCTTTTAGCAAACCTCAGGGGGTGTTGTTGTACTTTACTTTTTTCTTTTCTTTTCTTTTTTTTTTTTCTTTTTTTTTTTTTTTTTTTTTTTTTGCATTCTCTTTCCTCGATGGTTCTTTTCTTCTTCTTCAGTTTTTTTTTTTTTTTTTTTGGTGATATCTCTCTCTTTCTTCACTCTTCCTTCAAATTTTGTTTTATTGTATAAAATAAATGACCAACAATTAATTAAAACCCTTGCTCAAAATTTCTTTTTTAAAATATATGTAATTAATATTATTGAGTAAGTTGAATAGTGACTTTTCTCAAAATAAAAAATATATATATATTGTAATTCTTGAAATAAAAAAATATATATATTATTAATGTTTGAAATCAAAAAATTAATGTAAGAACAAATTATTAATTTTCTTTTAACCATGGATGGTAGGAAAGTAAAAAATTTGCAACAGTAATGTTAAAAAAGAGGGGAAAGGAGGGGAGGGGGGTTGGAATGGGTTAACTCATT